TTTATATTCTCATACTTACCTCTTTCTCCTGCTGCATTAGTTCGGTTTCTAGTTTGCTTAATGTCTAAAACGTACTTCTCCATTCATGTGTTCACCTTGGTGTGGAGACAGCATTTTTTCTGCTTCCAATTTCTAACATATGGTATCTATCAGACTTTACCAAAAGTTTGAAAACATGCTGTGCATGTTGGTCGTCCCTGCCCTAGGTTATTGTAGCCACACTGCCATGAAAAGTAGTTCATTTGTGGCACCTAATGGACTGCAAAGGCTTTTTCCTGTTTCAGGCTCCTTTTCACTCCCATCTTTCTTTCCATCTGCTTCACACTCATTTCCGTCTCATATCCACCCTCACTCCTATGGGCTCTGAATTCTTTCCATACAGAACAGAGCTCTCTGTAGTCCCTACTCCAAAGCTCAGTTCCAGGCCCACAGTGGTTGCACCAATATCCATTAAGGTGCAGTCCACATTAGCAGCAGAAAAGACCAGCAGCATCCCCGAGATTATTTTTAACAAGATCTATCCCCCAGTCCCCTTTAGAAGGAAGCTGCTGTTTTAAGTGGAAGTATTCACTTTTTTTCTCAGTTTCACTAGAAATAGTTTCATAATGATAAGAATGTAGGCTGGTGACCCATCAGGACCTAAGCATAGCAGCATGGCTGCTGCTAGTGGGTGTTGCATTCATTCAGAATCACACAATAATTAGATGGATAGCATAGTTTTATGTGGAGCGAAAACCTCCTCACACAGAGGAATGAATAAAAGTAAAATAGAGGTACACTTGTAGATCTGAAAAACGGGTTTCATGGGTTAGTCAATGGGGAATAACCCCCAGGAGGAGGGGTGGTTACCTGAGTGTTAGGATGCTGGATGTGCTTGTCTGAGTGTGACTCTCATTTCCTCCCAGGGAGCTACTAGGGATTAGGGCTTAGGTAAAGGGGAAGCTGATTGCTTCAGCTTACCAAAGGGCTCTCCATAAAAGAACACTTAGGGAAAACAAGATCACTTTGGGGAACAGTAGCTCTTTCCCACTTATCCACACCATCTCTAGGAAAGGCAAGAGTTCACTGGTGACCATGTGTCTATCCTGCTACCCCTTCCATCCTCAAGAAGACTCTTACTGGCCCTCATATGAAAGTTCTCCCTTGTTCTTGATGCAGAGAAGTGTCTCCAGACATTTATTCCTAGACGCATATCATATAGTTTTTAATCTATGTTTTCATCTAGAAGATTCACAATTTCAGGCCTTACATTTAAGTATTTAATCCATTTTGACTTAATTTTTGTACATAATGTGAGATAAAGATCCAATTTTATTCTTCGAAGTGTGGATATCCAGTTTTCCCAACATCCTTTATTGAAAAGACTGTCCTTTTCCCATTGTGCATTCTGAGACCCTTTGTGAAAATTAATTGACCATAATTGCACGAGTTCATTTTTTGGGCTATCAATTTTGTTCTTTTTTATGTGTCTGTTTTTATAATGATATCATGCTATTTTAATTACTATAATTTTGTAATATAGCTTAAAGTCTGGTAGTAAGATGCCTCCAGCTTTGTTCTTTTTGTGCAGAATAGTTTGGCTATTCAGGGTTTTCTGTGGTTCAAACAATTTTAGATTTTGTTCTATTTCTGTGAAAAATCACACTGGAGTCTTGATAGGGATTCCATTAAATCTATAGATCACTTTTTGTAGTATAAACATTTTAACAATATTAATTCTTCCAAACCATAAACATGATATATATTTCCATTTATTTGTTTCTTCTTCAATTTATTTCATCAAAGTTTTATAAATTTTAGTGTATAGATTTTTCATCTCTTTAATTAAATGTTTTCCTAAGTATTTTAATTTTCTAGCTATTGTAAATGGGATTTAAAAAACCTTTTCTTCAGATAGTTTGTTGGTAGTATTATAGAAGTACTGTTTTTGTCTATTGATTTTGTATCCCAAAACTGTACTGTATTTGTTTATTAGTTCTGACTTTTTTTTTTGAGATGGAGTCTTGCTCTGTTGCTCAGGCTGGAGTGCAGTGGTGCAATCTTGGCTCACTGCAACCTCTGCCTCCTGGGTTCAAGTGATTCTCCTGCCTCAGCCTTCTGAGTAGCTGGAATTACAGGTGCACACCACCACACCAAGCTAATTTTTGTATTTTTAGTAGAGACGGGGTTTCACCATGCTGGTCAGGCTGGTCTCAACTCCTGACCTCATGATCCGCCCACCTCTGCCTCCCAAAGTGTAGTTCTGACATTTTTTTGATGGAGTCTTTAGGGATTTCTATGTCAAATCATATCATCAATAAATAGCAACAATTTCCCTTCTTCCTTTTCAATTTGGATGCTTTTTATAGCTTTCTCTTTCCTAATTGCTCTGGCAAGGACTAACTATACTATAATGAATAGAAGTGGATAACTTTGTTTTATTGCTGGTTTTAGAGAAAAAACATTCAACTTTCATTGTTGAGTCCAATGCTAACTGTTCTCTTGTCATATATGACTTTTATTGTGTTGAGGGACATCCTTTTTATCCTAACCTGTTAAGAGTTTTTATCACAAAAGAATGCTCAGATTTGTCAAATCCTTTTTTCTCCATCTAATATGATGATCACATGGTTTTTGTTCCTTCATTCTGTTTAAGCGGTGTATCACATTTATAGATTTTCATATGTTGAATCATCCTTTTATCCCTGGGATAAATATCACTTGATCATGTAAATAATACTTTTAATGTAAGGTTGAATTTAGTTTGCTAGTGTTTTGTTGAGGATTTTTGTATCTATATTCAACAAGGATACTGACATGTAATTTTTTTTTTCTGTAATGTTCTTGTCTGGCTTGCTATCAGGGTGATGTTAGCTTTGTTAAAAAAAAAAAGAAAGTAATGTTTTCTCTTTGACTTTGGAAAAGTTTGAGAATAACTGGTATTTGTTCTTTAAATATTTGATAGAATTCAGCAGAAAAGTCATCAGGTTCTGCAATTTTTTGATGGAAAACTTTTTACTATTGATTCAATCTCTTTATTCATTATTGAACTCTTTGCATTTTCTATTTCTTTATTATTGTATCTTGGAATTTATATATTTTCTAGGTTATCCAGTTTGGTGTTGTGTAATTTTTCATGGTAATATGTTATGATCCTTTGTACTTCTGTAGTAGCAGTTGTAATTTGTCCTCTTTGATTTCTGATTCCCTTTATTTGAGTCTTCGCTCCCTTTTCTCAGTCTAGCTAACAGTTTGTTGATTTTGTTTAACTTTTCAAAAAAACAACTCTTGGTTTCATTGATTTTTTTGTCTCTGTTTCATTTATTTCTGCTCTAATCTTTGTGATTTTCTTTCCTTTGCTAGCTTTGAGTTTAATTTGTTCTTCCTTTTTGTTCCTTGAGATGTATCACTAGGTTGTTTATCTGATATCTTTCTTGTTTTAAAAATAAGCATTTTTTGCTATAAATTTTCCTCTCAGAACTGCTTTTGCTCCACCCAATATGTTTTGTATGTTGTGTTTTCATTACCATTTGACTTAAGATTTTTCCTATTTTCTTTTTGACATTTTTCTATGACCCATTGGCGTCTCAGGATCATGATGTTTAATTTCCACATATTTGTGGATTTTCCAAGATTTTCTTGTTATTGTTTTTTTTTCGTAATCTTTGCCTTTTAATATAAGATTTTGTTTCATCATTTCTGAATGTAACACATTTCTTCTAAAAATAGAGCTCTCTGCTTGTTCTGAAACTTCTTAGAGTTCACAGGGAGGTGAAGGGGAATAAGGCTTACTGTAATTCTGGGATGACATTGTCAGTTTCATAGTCATAGATAAATTTTTCAAGGGATCCTGGATGCTCACAGCAAGGATGAGTTCATTTCAAATCCATGGTACTGAAGAAGCGTGACAAAGCGTTTCGAGGCCCCATCTGTGCCTGGCGTGGACTCCGGAACACATTACTGACCAAACAGAGCACCAGACAGCAGCGGCCCCTCTCCCAGGAGGTACAGGAGACAGGGTGACCCCGCACACATCTACCAGAAGATGACAGGGTGCTCTCCTAACACACTGGTTAAGAATGTAAGGGTACAGACCCAAGATGTAGGAATGCAGGGCTGAATATGTAAACTCCTGCCCTGGGCCAATGCAGACCTGGATTTAATATCGCGAAACTTGCTGGGATTTTCTCACAATACAGATGAAGAGTCAGAATCTCCCCCACCCCCAAGGAAGAGCCTGGTTAGCTCCTGAACTCAAAGATGCCCTTGACGTACCCAGTGAGTCCACTCTTGGTCTTCTGTTCCAACTTGTCCTTAAGGGGTGGGAAAGCCACATGATTGAGGGCCAGGTCAAAAAACAAAGGCTTGCAGGGGATGGGCTGGAAGCCTGGTGGGAAGTGCACAAGGTTGGCTTGCTTGGTGACCAGGAAAAGGTCCAAGCAGACTGTCTCAAACCGTTCAACCAGAGACTTATTGTCCTTGACTTGGAAGGAGGTTTGATGAGAATTATCTGAATCAAGGATGACCATGGCCTGCAGGGAGCACTTCTCCGACCGCACTTGAGTAATGAGCTCTTCCATGTCAGGCAGGTCCGTTAGGCTGTTCTTGAAGGCGCCAGCATCAGAATTTACTTCATTTGCATATTTCAGGACTCTATCATACAGGACAAGGGTTTCGCTCCACGTCTTCACCAGCACATAGGACTGAGAAATGAAAAAACACCTGTAAGCTTTAAATACCAGAGTCTTGAGGCCTATCTCTTTCTGGAAGGCTTTGTCCTCCTCTATACCAGGAAGCTGGAGCAATTCCACCAGATTCCGTAGGATGATGTTGTAGAGCCAGATCAGGTCCTGGGGCTGGGGGGAGCACTTGCTGTCATCCTCTGGCTGCTGCTGCAGCAGAGCCCTCTACAGACCTTTGGCCATGTTCTCATTATGCTTGATTGCCGTTGACAGGTTGATGTAAGTCAGGTAGCTGTGCAAGTACTGAAGATTAGACACCTTCCCCGACTCTAGTTTCATAACGTTGAGGTTAGAAAAAAGTGGTGATATGATTTCAATTCTCTTAAATTTATATAGACTTGTTTCATGGCCTAACATATGTTGTATCCTGGAGAATGTTCAAGGCATGCTTGAAAACAATGTGTATTTTGTTGCTTTTGGATGAAACTTTCTTTACATATCTGTTAGTACTATTTGGTCTAAAATATAGTTCAAATCCATGATTGTTCATTAATTTTCTGTGTGAATAATCTGTCTATTGTTGAAAATCAGTGACTGAAATCTCCTGCTATTATTGTATTGCAGTCGCTCTCTCCCTTCAGATCCTTTAGTATTGCCTTAATATATTTACATGCTCTAATATTTGGTGTGTATGTGTGTAAGTGTGTGTGTGTGTGTGTGTGTGTGTGTACAGCCGTTACATCCACTTGATTAATTGACCTTTTAATCATTATATAATTACCTTCATTATCTCTTTTTATAGTTTTTAACTTAAATACTATATTGTCCAATATGAGTATAGCTACACCTTCTATCTTTTGGCTTTCATTTACATAGAATATCCTTTTCTATCCCTTTACTTTCAGTCTGTGTGTATGCTTAAAGGTGAGACTCCTCAAGGACCTAGAAATAGAAATTCCATTTGACCCAGCAATCCCATTACTGGGTATATATCCAAAGGATTATAAATCATTCTACTATAAGGACACATGCACATGAATATTCATTGCAGCCCTGTTCACAATAGCAAAGACCTGGAACCAACCCAAATGCCATTGATGATATACTGGAGAGGGAAAATGTGGCACATATACACCATGGAATATTATGCAGCCCTCAAAAACAATGAGTTTGTGTCCTTTGTAGGGACATGAATGAACCTGGAAACCATCATTCTCAGCAAACTGACACAAGAACAGAAAATCAAACACCGCATATTCTCACTTATAGGTGGGTTTTGAACAATGAGAACACATGGACACAAGGAGGGGAGCATCACACACTGGGGTCAGTTGGGGGGAAATAGGGGAGGGACAGCTGGGGGTGGGGAGTTGGGGAGAGATAGCATGAGGAGAAATGCCAGATATAGGTGAAGGGGAGGAAGGCAGCAAATCATGCTGTCATGTGTGTACCTATGCAACAATTTTGTTCTTCACATGTACCCCAAAACCTAAAATGCAATAAAAAAAGGTGAGATAAATCTCTTATAGGCAGCATATATTTGGGTCTTAAAAAATACATTCCATCATTTTATGTCTTTTTATTGAATAATTTAATTTATTCACACTCAAGGTAATTATTGACAGGTAAGAACTTACTACTATCATTTTATAACTTGTTTGCCTACTGTTTGTATATACTTTCTTTCTTTCCCTGTTGCTGTCCTCCCTTGTGGTTTGGTGACTTTCTATAATAGTATTATTCGAATCTTTTTTATTTGTGTTTTATACATCTAATACAATAATTTTTACTTTTTTGTTACCATGAGGCTTACATAAAACATCTTATACTGATAACAGGCAATTTCAAGCTGAAGAAAACAACTTTGATTGCATACAACTCTGTGCATTTACTTCTGTCCATTATATGTTTTTAAGCCAAAATTTATATAACTTTGTGATTGTTATCCCTGGCAAGTAATTTTAGCTATAATTGTTTTAATAGATTTGTCTATTAAGCATCATACTAGAGGTAACATTTATTTACACACCACCAGTTCAGTCCAAAATATTCTGAAACATGACCCTGGCTACTTTTATCATTGAGTTTTATGCTTTTATGTGGTTTGTGTTATTAGTTAGTGGCCGTTTGATACCGCTCAAAGAATTCCCTTTTAGTAATCCCTGTCAGGCAGGCCTAGTGAATTTCTTCTATCTGAAGGATAGCTAAGCTGGGTAAAATATTCTTGTTTGGCTTTTTCTTCTATTTTTCATTCAGCACTTTAAATGTATCATCTCACTCTTTCCTGGCCTGCAGTGTTTCCCCTGAGAAATCTGTGGAGAGTTCTATTGGGACTCCCTTGTATGTGTTTCTTATCCATTTCTGCTTTTAGAATTTTTCCTTTCTCTTTTATTTTTGATAGTTTATTATGTGTCTTGGTGAACCCTTTTATGGGTTTAATTTGTTAGTTTCTTTGGGTGATGTCATGAGTTTCTGACTCTTTGTAATTCTTGTGCCCTTATGTTGGTATCTGTACATTTGAGGAGACAGCCACCTCTTCCAGATTTTACAAGCATTCTTGCCAGGGATGGACTCTTTTTTATTTAGTCTAACCTATGACTTGAATGGACCAGCTGGTAATAAATCTGTGCAAACAGAGCTTGTTTTTGAGTTCTCTAGGTAGATGCTTGGACTTTAGGTATGACTACTGGTTGGGCTACTCTGTCAGGTGAGACCACTGGCTAGATGTGCAATCAGACAGATCTGCTAGATGTACATTGCAATGACCTCAGATCAGCCTGGGCCACAAGGTGTATTCTCTGGCCAAGTGGTACTGTTTTTTGAGATCTGCATTTGGACGGAGTTTCAGGCCTGGCCCTGAGGCTAGGCAGAGTAGCTCCTCAAAATGGAGCAGACCTGAATGTGGCAGAACTAGCCACTGTACTTTACTAAAGTGTTCTGTTTGGTTGTCTCCCTCCCTGGATAGGGTGTTGGGTAGGTTTTGCAGCTGTGCTAAATGCTGTATAAGCTGGATCTCACTATTTTCCAAATCGTCCTGGGAAAGGCATCTCTCTCCCTGGGTTGAGGGCTTTGTGGTAGGGTCTGAGACTGGACATGGAGGCTGGCCATCTAGGGATTCAAGCTAGGTGGGACTTCCTATCACTTCTAGTAGTGACCAGCTGGGCTTTGTGGGTAGGTGACGCTGTTGCCTGGTATCTCTGATCAGGTACCACCACTGAAAGGTACACAGAGCTACCACAAAGGTTTGTTCAGTGTTCATGCTGTTACCCTCTGCACTCCCTGTGAGGTGAGACCAGAGTGGGCTTCCTGGAAAATGTCTCAGATTTCTAGGGAATCTGGAAGTCTAACTCCAGTTCTGTTTCCCCATGGTTGAAACGAAGCCTTGGGGAATTCTTTCTTTGTAGTATTTTGCTGACTCATGGGATCAGCAAGGGTGATGCCGTCAGTGAGACCATTTCACTTACCCTCTTATGTGGTCTTTGTTTAGTTCTGTGGTCCACACTGTTTTCTCAGGCTTATTCTCAATTTTTGGAGTTTTCACAAAGGCATCCTTGTCTGTGGATAATTGCTAGTTGAACTTTCTATGGGGTTAGTGAAGGCTGTGACTTCTCATTCTGCTATCTTGCTGATGTCTCCAGCTAAATCTTTATTAATTAAATTAAACAATCAATGAATAAAATATGTAGAGAGTGAGAAAAAGGGAAAAATATAGCAGAAAGTATGTAGCAAGGGGAGAAGCAAAGAGGGAAGAGTTGAGTTGCCCACACAGAAGACTTATAGAACTGCTATTAATTTATTGCACTTACTTTGAAATTAGGATATTTATTGTTGTATTTTGAAGTAGTAATGAATGATGTGTCAGCCACTTGTGGGGTCCAAATATTTGGCTGCTTTATCCTCTTCTCCTTTCTTCTCACCTAGTCTTAATTTAATCCTCTATAAATTGAGGTGATCTGGACATACCTCTGGAAACCTGATCATCATCAAACTATCATCAAAATAAAAGAAAACATTGCAAGCCTTGGGCCACCCTAAGTATTTAATTTACTATTTCCCATATGTGTAGTATAAACTTATGATAGCACAACTAGGGATATGATGGTTGTATAAAATATTTTGCCTCCCATGAAGAGCTTATATTTAAAGAGACAGCCCATCTATCCAAAAACATTAGTCAAATATTACTAGATAGTATTTGATTAAGTGAAAGTTGAGTGAAAAACAACAAAAATGTAATTTAGACTCAGACAGAGATGAGCTCAGTGTGAGCTGAAGACTTCAAATAAAGACTTCAAATAAAGTGATATTAACAGAAACTCTGAAAATATTGTATTATTTGTATTGATTTGACATTTTTACTTGGATTTTATTCTGAGAAAAAGCTAGTTTGTGCCAACTTGCAGAGAGTACTCAAAAAGTCTGAATGCACGTCCCTGGCAAACTGCATGTTGAAATATAATCCCCACTGGAGGTGGGGCCTGGAGGGTGCTGTTTTGATTGTGGAGGCAGATCCCTTATGAATGGATTAGGCTATCCCCTTGATGATAAGTGAGCTCTTGCTCTGAGTTCCCATGAGATCTGACCATTTAAAAGTGTGTGGCACCTCCTCTGCCACCTGACTCTCCTTTCCTCCTGCTTTTTCCTTGTAGCATGGCTGCTTCCACTTTACCTTCTGCCATAACTGTGCTTCCTGAGGCCTCCCCAGAAGCTGAGCAGATGCTTGCACCAGGCTTCCTCTAAAGCCTGAAGAACCAATTAAAGCTCTTTTCTTTATAAATTACCCAGTCTCAGGTATTTCTATATAGCAATGCAAGAAAAGCCTAATACAGCACCCTTTAAAAAGGAAGTAAAAGCAAATCTGGTCTTTAAAAGTAGATTAGTTGGTTTTCAGTTCCAACATACCAAAAGCTTAGAACTCATCAGTTCAATTCTAACAAAAACAACAACAACAATAGAGAAGATAAATAAACAAAATGAGCAACTTTTCATGAATGCATCAGAAAACTGAGGTTGCAGGGCAAACTGCCACCCTCAAATCTCAAAAAGCAGATGAATCCAGAGAACCACATGAAGACAGATCTGCTTACTGCTGGAGAAGCCCTGGAGCCATAAACTGGAACACTTAAATAACAATTTTGATAAATTTCAGAATACTAATGTGAGGACTATTCTGAGAAAGAGAAACTCCTGGGTGCTGCACTCTTAGCGGCCCCCACATACTTTGTGGGTTTTACCTCCAGACACCACGTAGTGTTCTTATGGTGAAGAGGGCAGAAAGGAGTATTCATGGCTCAGGTAGAGGGAGGGAAAGAGTAACTTGTAAAATACAGCCTGACTGT